ATAGCAATTATACATATTTTAACAAAACAAAACATTACATTAGCCTATATTATAGTCTTTTACTTTCTTTTATGATTTTATAATTTTGTATAATTGTATAATATAATTCATGTTTTCCAGTATATGTTTGTTTATTGGCCTTTACATACCTCTTGTTTCCAACGTCAGCTATTATATAATGTAAATATGTGTCATTTTATATTAAAGGGGTCATATGATGTTGCTAAAAATAACTTTTTTGGTGTATTTGGTGTAATGAAATGTTTATTTGTTTTAAGTTTAAAAAACACATTATTTTCCACATACTGTACATTATTGTTTCTCCTCTATGCCCCGCCTTTCTGAAACGCGTTGATTTTTGCTAGAGTGAGGAACGGCAGATTTGATGAAGGAGCGTCCGGCGGCTTGTGGCAACCACATGTGACGACCCTGGGCTGGACTCTGCTTCATCCACGGTGAAAGCTGATCCGGCGATTGACAGCGTGAAGTTGATGCATTTCCTCAGCGACCAGCATGGATCATCTCCAGGCATGACGAAGCAGATATCGTCCTCTTTTGGAAGACCAAACAAAGTAGTTTTGCTTTCACAACGAAACACACAGCGTCTCCACAGCATGGCGGTGGCAACAACAATACTACAGCCAGAATAAAAGTTATGCCTTCTTTCTTTGCGTGAACATTTGGGCAGCATTATGCAAATCTTCCCACATAGTGAGGTAGACATGTGGGGGCGTGTTAGAACGAGCCGTTTTAGGTAGGCGTAGCTGACTCTTAACTTTTATAAAGAATATCTCTTTGGCTTTGAGACTTTAGTCTTTGCAACTTTACAAATCTTCTTTATGCACCAAGAGCTTGTAACCCTCCAAAGAGAAAGGAAAAATTGAAATCGCATCATATGACCCATATGATCATATGAATGAAAATTATATTATGTTTTTGTATATAACTTTTATTTCTTGTATAGAATTTTCTTTTACAATTAAATTTTAGTAGAAGTTTAAAGAGGTTTAATTTGGTTGTTGTTATATAATTTACTATGGAATCGGTTATTCTGTTTTCCTAGTTTATTTTATTTTTATTACATTTTTTGAGGGGTTTTCTGTATTAGCCAACATGCTCTTATTAATGTGAACTTTTCATATTTTTTGAGTGTGCATGTTTACATGATGTACTATTAAAAAGGTTCTGTTTTCATGAATAAAAAAACAGTTTTTAAATGTTTTTCTTTGTCTAATTTAATTTAATGTTTGTTTTTGTAATCTAAATATTTGCTTATTTGCATGTTTCTATTTAGCTCACTTTTATAATGAATTTTAAAAAGATGCAATCCCACACACTATCTACTTGTCTAAGTTCATTACCACAGGCAACGTTTCAGTCCACTGACCTTCATCAGGCATATAATGATTTAAAAAAAATAAAAAATCTATAAAATAAGTTTTGCTTTCAATGAAATAATAATATAAAATGAAAATAGAAATGAAAATGAAACATGTTGCCAGTGTGCTCTCGTGAAAATGCAGGATCTGAATATGTCCTTCACTGAGTTTCACTGTGACATTTACACCTATAAAAATAATGTGATGTTTCTGATGATCAACTTTAAGGGAGTGAGGAGGAACCATGCATTTTCTTTATTCAGCAGTAACCTTTTCAAATAAAATGAGCCTGAAATGTATATACAGACACAGATGGCACCGTTCCCTAAGGATGAACGGCATTCTTTAATCATTTTTATTACAGTCTAATCGCTCTGTGCCTGTTCTTCCAGATGTCTGCATCGAGAGATTAACTACACAACCTGAATGACAACAGATACAAAACAGAATAATGCAGATACAACAAGTGTGTAGGGAACGAGTGAGAGCTGTGAATGGGTTACACCGCTGCGACAGTCATATTTGCACTAAATAAATACAAAAACAAAGAAATACAGCCTGTGGAGAACATTCATGCTTGTACAATGGTTTTTGGATGTGATTTAAGGGATTCATTTGTGGAAAATGTGGCACAATTCCCATTTGTCCACCAGGGGGCGTAAAATGAACACTGTTGCAGGTGATTATCGCCCCACTGAAAGTCATTACTTCCACACTGTGGTGCAGGGCCAAATTAAAAGGAGCACGATGGGCAGTAACTGTCAACCTAATGGTGTCTTACACAGTGTGATATTCAATTTGATCTCAGCAGTGATTAGAGAAGATTATCTCCAGAAATATTATTTATGAACACACTATGGTGTTTTGTATGGATTTGCAGGCACAACTATTGCCTGCTCTTATCAGATGAGAATGCAAATTAGAGTAACTGTAGATTGCTTTATTAAATGGGGTCTGAGTAATGAGCCTCAGGAAATTTGATTTTAAAATCTCCTTTGCACCCATCAGAACTGAAATAGTTTTTTTTTTCAGTGAAAACATGCAAATAATTCTTCAACTTCCATAAAACCTATAAATAAATAAAAAAACTACTTAAAATATACTGAAATTCCTATATCCTTTAACTTCCATTCAAATTAAATGTGCTTCTAAACTGAGAAAAAAGTAGAAACTATTTTCACTCAGAAATTGCTGAGTGAAACAATACAATGAAACGGCAAATAACACTTTGAATTAAACGTAACATTATTTCATTTTTAGTAAAACGTACTCCAACGATAGGCTATTTTATTTACATCTTTTGGAAACTTTTTTTTTGCCGTGTTAGCAAATCATAATAATAATAATATATAATATAACAATAACATATATATGAAAAATATACAATTAAAATATATTGAAATAAAAACTTGTAAAAACTAAATGTAGAAAATACTGTTAAAATAGTGTGACCGTTTTCACTTAGATATTAGCATACTAGTTTCACAAACAATTACATTATTAACTCAATGGTGAATAAATAAATACGTTTTGAAATAAAAAATAAAAAATCAATAACTTTGTATATTTTGGGGGGGATTTTTGAATACCTACAAGTTGCAATTAATCTTATAACTTGCTTCAAAATTTGAAAGGTGCTTCTAAAGGGCCATATGCACTTCAAGACACTTTAGTAGCTGCAAGGTCATGCATGCACAGGTGGATAAAACCAAAAGTGCATGCATAAATGTTCAGTAGCTCCATGCATTAGTTAGTTGAACATGGGCCAAGTGTTGCAACATATGCACATCTGGCACACAAATGCACTAATCTATTTTCAGCACCGCATGGCTACTGCCCACATTAAAAAAACGCCCTTTTCTGGAAGTGTGGAGGTGTGTTTGTACAAGAACGCATTTGCATATGTATTTAGAGGGGCTGAGTATGAAATATCAACAGCTTTTTATATTGCATGTTGGCTCTTAAGTATATTTTGATAGAAAATGTACTTATAATGTGAACTTCTGAATTAAACTCTGCGTTATTTTACAGTCAGTGTTTCAGTTGGACCATTAAGGTCTGGTCCACAAGGGACACAAGTGTTAAATATATGATTTGTGTGTTTTATGGCGTGACTGCACATGACACCGAGGCTGCAGGGTCGGATCAAGCCTTCAGCTGCAGATCATAGAAGATGGGCCCAATGCACAAGACAATAATCTGTTTTTGATGGATTATTTCCCAGCAGGCTTTAGTCAGATTTAGTGGCAGTCAAGCAGTGAAATCAACCAATCTGCTGAGGGGAAAATGCTTTAGATTATGAAGTCATAGAGAGTGATGTCTGCACGTGAATTATCACAAGTCTTACTGTCCAGAAGATCACAGGCATTAAATAATCTAAACTAGAGAGAGAACATAAACCATGAACACCAATGGGTATAAAAAAAGGGCCTGAATATGAGTCGTGATAGACTAAATGTGGCAGGCCAATTAATCATCCATTTTGAGATTATGATCAGCATCATCTGATAATTGTGCTAATTAACAGAAGTACACTTTTACATTTTTAGATAGTGTACAACTGACACCATTTTGATACATTATAGGTGTGTGCGTGTGTATTATGTAATACTTTATATTACATTTTAATTTACATATATGCGTTCGATATACATATAAATAATTAAAACATGTTCAAATGTAATATAAAGCACAATAATACTCGTCTGGTCTCAACTGTAAACTGTACTGGCAATTTGTTAAATGTATTATTGTCATTAACATTATTCATTTAAATGATTTATACATATTTTTATACATACTGTAAAATACATATGCAATTATATATATATATATATTAGTGCGGTCAAATTATTTTTGTTTACATAATATATGTGTGCACGGTGTATATTTATTACATATATATATATATATATATATATAGACACTTGCATGTATACATTTAAGAAAAATTTTGTGTTTGTTAAATATATTTATATATAAATTAAATTATATGAATATAAATGCATGTAAATATTTTCTAAATATAAACTGTATATATATATATACACAGTACACAACATACTACGTAAACAAACTTATTTTGGATGTGATTAATCGTTCGAGAGCACTAATATATATATATATATATACACATGCATACACACACATACACACACATATACAGTATATATATTATATAATTATTAGTTCATTGTTTATATGTCTGTGTATGTGCTTAAAAGATTGGATAAAAAGATGCAGCATTCAGTGTGCAGTTCACAAATTTATTTACTGAATAAATCTGGACAAAACATCAAAAATCTGTTACATTACAATCAGAGCATCTGAGGCAGATATCCCACCATGCACTCCCCCCTCCCCTTGAAAACATGAGGAAAAAAAATGAACGAACGAAAAGCATCCTTCAAAATTAGCACCTAATCAGCACCAACTTAGGTAGCCAAGTTCCTTCTACATAACAAGTGAAAGCACAATGACCAGAGGAAGGGGAAAAAAAACAATAAAAAGAAACTCTTAAGCGCAATTGGACTCCTAGTAAATCCTTTGTAAGATTCTTTAAGAAAACGAAACTGAAAAAATGAACTCCCCTCTTGCTAGGCAGGCTAAAGCATTCAAAGGGCACATGCCATTGACTAGATATAAATCACGATTTCAAGTAACATTGATATACGACGAAACATGTCTACATGTACCCATTCAAAACATGATCATTTCACAGACCTATGCAGGCAGTAGAGTTAACATGAGGTACTCGAGACGGTGTAGTCGTAGAAATATCGTCTAATATTTATGGAGTCAAATGCAAATGCAAATGCAAAAAAAAAGGAGTACGGTCAGCGTGCGTTTGGGGTGCCATTACTGGCACTGACGTTAAATCGTAGACCTTCCAACTTGGGACAAACTTTGCTACAAAAAGTCAAACCTGTCCTGTGTCAAATGTATTGCCTACAATATTCGTGAAAACTGGCGGTTAAGAAAATAACGAAAAACCCTGCACGTATTTCTCTTTAAATATAGTAGTAGTTACCTTATAAATAAAATTAAAAAAAGATACATTTTGCTCCAGCAAAAGAAAACAACTAAAAGTTAAATAGATGACACTAGTCCAGAGAGGATCTTCAAGCCTAGGCGAGTCAAGTGCTTGACGTTTTTTATTCTCTGAAGACTCACGGAGAAAGTTTCAGTTACGGTTAGAGCGAAAAAAGCAGCAATAATAGTAAAAGGAACAGCTTAATGCAACACAAATCGTTCTTAATGCAGCCAAATGAATCCAAACACAATAAATGACATGGTCTTTGCAGTATTGACCTGGAGGACTGTCGAAACGCTATACTTAAAATAAACCGAGGATCAGATTGAGACGCAACCAACAATTTGCATTCGAGGAAAACGAGTAACTGAGACACGGTCAACAAATCAAAGCTGGAAAAAGGAGAGGTTGAGCAGTTTTGCCTGATATTTTCTTTGTTCCTTGGCTGCGTTCTCCTGTGCTGTAATGCATGTTTGTAGCTTACTGTGACTCGTATGCACGTAAAATGAAGACAAAAATGAACGGAAGTAAAGGAAAAGCCAAAGTAAGTCTTGCTACATCACCCGACGCGCTTCGTCCAGAAGTCCTAGCTTAGGAAGTAGTCCTTTCCACCCTAGCCAGAACCGACCATGTTTTTTCACGGAATGAGAAATAACGATAGACACCATTTGTAATGAGTGCATTTCTTTTTTTCTGATAATCTAAAAGGACGTGGCATAATGTCTGATGAGTTTGTGCTCAGCTAAAGAACTGTTCCAGTTCTTCTTCCATGTTGGCCTCTGGCACCATTTGGTCCAACTCTCGCTCGCCTCTTCCGTGGCTGGCGGCAGCAGCCGAACCGCCGGAGGCCGAGAACCAGGGATGGTCCAGGATCTCTCGGGAGGTGAGGCGTTCGGCCGGTTCTCGCCGCAGGATGCTACGGATGAGGCATCGGGCTTTGGGCGTTAGCGTCTCGGGGATGCTGAACTGGCCACGGCGGATCTTGCTGAACAGTGAGCTGGGCTCCACGTCGTGGAACGGGTAGCGGCCCACCAGGATGGTGTAGAGCATCACGCCTAAGCTCCACACGTGTTGCTACAGTAATATAAAATAAAGCAACATTCTGATACTTTAAGGTGCTTTTTATTTGGTCGTTATGTTTTCTAAAAAGCATGTCAGACTAATTTAGCTGTTCTTCTTTTCTTGAAAGTACGTGAGCATCAAGATGTTTTTAATAATGTCTTTGATGCAAAATCAGGGTTTAGAGTAAGTCATGTTCACGAATCAGATTCATAACCATGGTTCAATGATTCTTTTGCATCATAAAGTTAGAAACAAGTGATGATTAGTAAAATACTGTGATAAATGTATATTTAGTTACAATAATGTGGCACAAGTGACAGTAAAGATATTTATAATGTTACAAAAGATTTCTATTGCAAATAAACACTTTTTTAAAAAACTTTCTATATTGTGGATTCCACAAAAATATTAAGCAGCACCACAGTTTTCAACACTGATAAGCAGCAAATCAGCATATTAGAATGATTTCTGAAGGATCATGTGACACTGAAAACTGGAGTAATGATGCTGAAAATTCAGCTGTGCAAAGGAATAAATTACATTTTAAAAGATATTAAGAGAGTTCATATAATAGTTTATATTATTTTTAACTAATAAATGCATGCAGCCTGTGTAAGAATAACAGGCTTTTTCAAAAACATTTGAATAAATATTACCGACCCCAAAGTTATGCAAGTCCCTTTATGCGCTTACAGTATTTTCAAACCACACAATTTGCATCCCTGCTTATTCATCAAAAAGCCGAAAAAAACCCTGAGACTAACTACATCGTACAGCCCAAGTTACAAAGACAAAAAATACAAAACAACATATGCAATGAAACCATCTTTGAGGTCTTCTGCAAGCTGCCTCGTGAATCAAGATTCTGAATCAGAAACCATCCAAATGAAACCGTACGCCCACCGAGTCTCAGCAAAACATCCAATCCTCTGAGCTCAAAATAGTCATATTATTTTTCACCACAAGCGGTATCCTGCTGCGTGGAAAGGTTGCAGGGCATCTAAATTACCTGAAGGTCAGAAATGAACAGGATGCCCCTTCTCTGACCTGAACTTGTGACCCGTTTTCATGCACCGCTGTGCAAAGAGAACACGACATGCTCGAAATATTCTCTTAATGACATGCAGCATATGTGAGTCACAGCTCCACGACGCGGCTGAGTTACACCAGGTCAAGAGCCTGCAAAGAACACCGGCCCACACGAACGCAGGAAAAACGGAGGAGGACACGTGGATGCACACACTTGTACATTAGGGAGCGATTCCAGATGAACTGCACTGCGGTCTCTATAGCGTGCAACGGCAGAACATTACGAGCGTCCTTCGTGACATAACCAGGTCAGGAACCCACTACGCCGAGGAATGCAGTTCTGTCTGGCTCGCTTTCCTCTCTGGTTCTAATCTTGGTGCGTCCTTGGTGTTTGATTTCTGGCCAGGGTAATACTCACCACCCTAGGCCACGTTTACTTGCGCTCGTCTGCAATCACTCACTGAAAGGTGGACGGCTGACGCACCAGACCACAGAGCATGGGAACAGTAAGGTCACCGAGCTCACATTTAAAGCACCGGGCAACATTCTCCATTTCCATCGAGCGAGCCAGAGGGAATCTAGCTGAGCTGACTCATTTGGTCACTGGGGCAATTGCCATTTAGCTTAAACGGGAAGGCCATCCAGATTCATAATGCACGCTTGGGATTATTTCAGACTAATTTGACTGCCAAACATATGGGCAGGCTAATTTTTTAAAACTTAACACGCAATGCCATTCAAAACCATTTTTTTGTAGCGAAACAGGAAATGCAAATAGAAAAACAAAAGATGGGACATAATGTTGTTCACTGGAAATAAATTGGAGGGGAGGGGTGGAAAATTATAAGGGTTTGCTGATGTCAGCAAAAAACGACAAGTATTTCGGAGGCGGAGCATGATGGAATACAAAAAGCAATATTTTTTGTAATAACTTGTATGACTAAAATGAAAAATAGCAATGCACCGAAATTTCAGCAAGCGAAAATATTCAGCAGCAACAGCAAAGAAAATATATACTGAGTTTTGGATGAAACCACTGATTGAAACCGTGACTATTAATTATCACCTCTCTGATGGCACTTTTTAACCGTGTCCATATATTTCATGCACAGAATGAGGATAAGCCACAACAGGTAAACTTGTCAACAGTTTTATGCACTTCACCATGACCAAAATAGACGCTGAAGTAGCAATATGTCAAATGTGTTACTAAAATATCAAGTGGCAAGCCATTGCCAGAGAACTTTACTATGACTGGTTTCATTTATCATGTGAGAACACAACACCCCGAACAGCATACTAAATTCAACTACCCACATTTTTTTACTCAAACTTTATATTTTGGCTAAATTAAAACTTTTATTTTGGTTTTGGTTTAAAAAAAAAAAAAGGCCTGAAATTTGTGTTAAGAAAATGGTCCATTTTTATTCCAGGTTGACTTTAAATACTGCATTACAATACCAGCCTAAAATCACATTAGGTTATACTGTAAATGCACCACTTAAAGGCCTATATGGGTAAATTAATTAAGACCTGTAGCATTTCAGATGGTGCAAACATTCTTTAAAAAAAAAAAAAAAACTGTGGTGGCACCATGGTCTTAATGCTTAAAGGCATAGGTCAAAAGTGAATTTAAAATCTTGTAGTACACATCCGCAATTTACATTTGTGGTGCGGTCACTTTTACTGTTGTTCAGCTAATTTTTGCAGGGAAAATCCAGTCATTTCAATAGGAATTTTGTGTGAGGCTGAAAGATTTCCAGACACAGAATTCACAATGGTTTAAGATGGTCGTACAAATGTGCTGCATTGGTTTGAAAGTGACTTCTGTATGAACTGCGCTTCATATATTTCTACACTATAAACAATAGACCTTTTTTGGCTTCAAAATTGTAACAATTTCAATAATGTGGTTGTACTTTTAGTATTTTTCCCCCAGAAAAAAAACAGATTTAACGATATTTAACTAAATTTGTCCAACCATGTGCTCTAGAATGAGAATGTCCCCTAATACTAGCTGCCAATGACAACAGCAAGTAGCCACAATTCACAATTGTAAATTAACTAAGCTATTTGCCATTCAGGGGGGGGGGGGAACCTCTTTAAAGGGGTCATATGATGCGATTTCAAGTTTTCCTTTCTCTTTGGAGTGTTACAAGCTGATTGTGCATAGATAAGATCCCTGAAGTTGCAAAGACTAAAGTCACAAACCCAAAAAGATATTCTTTATCAAAGTTAAGACTCTGCCACGCCCCCCTAAAACGGCTCGTTCTAACACGCCCCCACATATCTACCTCACTATGTGGGAATATTTGCATAATGCGCCCAAATGTTCACGCAGAGAAAGAAGGCGTGGTTTCAGTAACCGCAGTTAGTGTTGAAGCAGCATGTCAGGGAGACGCTGTGTGTTTCTAGGCGAAAGCAAAAGCACTTTATTTGGCCTTCCAAAAGTAGATGCATTTAGGAATCTTTAAGATTACTTACAACAGAACAGCAATGCATTTTATGAACGACCGTTTCGTGAACCTAGGAGAGGAGATAATTCTGACTTTGCTATGACAATCTGCGCTTCTGAATCAGTTACTGTTTTGTTATTAGTTTAAGTATTTGCTATTGA